TTGGGATGTTCTATTTTTGTCTGTGCATGTCCAGTTTTTTTCTTCACCTCTCACCTTGCATGTGTATTTCACTTTAAATATGCTGAGTAGATCTATTTTAGTCTAGAAGCTTTCCTACATGCACCAAAAATGCATGTGGAATCAGAGCCGTAGCATGAAAGCAGGGAGATGGTTTTATTTCTCTCTGTTACTTGTTACGTAAAAGTAAGACCCGTGCTGCTGTGGCAGTTTTGTGTGGTGAAAGCTGTGACAGTGGGAACATGTGAGCGTGCCTTAAATCATCATTTGTATATCCCCTGCTGCGGCTAGAGAGGGGACCGGTGTGCTGCCAGAGTAGAGTGCACCATGGCTGGCAACACGTCAGGGACTTTGCTGAGTTGGGATGGGAACATCACCCATTGTGGCAAAGAGCAGCAGTGTGGGCCTGAGATGATGGGGCTGCGGAGGCAGGGAGAAGGGCGTGCTAGGGGCAGATTTTAACTTTCACTTTGGAAATCACTTGTCAGTTTAAGACCACATTCTGCTGGACAGGCCATCTTGGGTGAACATACCTTCATGCTTTTCTGGGTTACTGGCCCATGTTTTCAAGTGAATTTACCACAGTGTAACTGGTCTTTGAGAGAAAAAGTCCCTTTTTCACAGAGGATGGTGGTGTAAACTGCCCCTTCTAGAGAAGCATATGGTAAAATGCCTCATCCTGCCCTGGGAAGGATTGTGATGACTATTGCTTCAGCCTTTGACCTCCTTGTTGAAAGTGAGAATTGAGACTATGAGACTACCTCCAAATGCAAGGAATGGTGTTCAGAGACCAGGCTGGAAAGGTAAACCATGGTGAAAAAATGTAGCTTATTACTCTACCTGCATCCATGTGCTGTTCCAGAAATGGATATCGAGTAACATCCTTAACAGGGTACAAGAACTTTGAAGTAAGTCGTATTTGTCATATTTGTCGCATAAATGCTTGATGATGATTCTTAATGACAAACCCTTGATAACCAAAACTATCCAATGCCCCTAGTCCACATTTGGCGGATTACATAATTGATCAATTTTATGGTCATATAAAAAATGTCTTAAAATTTAAGATCTCTTTGGTTTTATAATTGGAAGAAATAAAATACATTTAAAAATTCTATCTTTTTGCAGGCTTTATATTTATGTTAAAATATATGCCTTTCAATCCTTAATTAACAAAATAAAATAATGCAGATTGTTGCTATTAGCCTAATGGTAATGAACCCAAAAATCCATTTTATGGTGTATCATGCAGACGCATGAGAATATTTGACAAAGTCAGGGCAAAATCTCAGTATTTTAAGCTGATCTGGGGCTGAAGTACTGCCCCCTGCTTATGAACATCATTTTAGCAATGGATTTTTGCTTTAAACTCTCTGCTAGGTGGCTAAACCTTCCGTTATCACTGGTTTACGTACAGGGCTTGAGTATGCAGCATGGAGAAGTCAGGGCTGGGGAACCACTGAAACCCGAATGCCTTCTGAATGCCTTTTCCAGGCTACATGTTAACTCACATTTTGATGTTATCTGATAATAATGTGAAAAAAGTCAAATGGCCACAGGCCGTATGAAATGAAGTCACAGGCCGTGCATTCCCCAGCTGTGGTGCAAAGGAAATGACTGATAAAAATATTTTTTCTAGCTGACCTCCGGCTTACCTTTGTCTGCCAAAGAATTTCCGGCTAATTCCCCTCTAAAGCTTTCTTGCAGCTACAGCCTATTCCTAGAGTCCTATATGTCAGAAAATACAGATCCCATCTGAGCCTGTTTATTGATTCACTTTAGATAAAGCATTAATGAAATCTTTGCTCTAGGTATGCAGATAGTGTTCCTTAAAAGAAAGTAAATTGCTGTATTCCTACGTAGGTATAGAGCAGCACTCAGCATTTGAATGGCTTATTATCAGAGAAATTTTGTCCTGTACAACTGCACAGAGGTACCTGGGGATAGATTTGTGAGTGGCTGTGGAGCGCTCACTCTTGCAACAAGTATTTGGATACTGAGCAGTCCCATGGCATTCAGAAACCTGAGTCTGCTTCTTAGGCTTAATGTGTGTGAGGAGTCTGACCGCTGTGAAATAGATTGAGAAAGCTGGAAAGCTGAATGAGATGGTTTATGTACTAAGACATAGATAAACTATAAAGAACAACAGGACCTAAGAAGCATCCTTTTGTGAGATTATGAACCCAATACTTGGCTGAAGGTCTTAATTGGATTAGGAGTCATGTTCGCTTTCGTCTTTCTCATTGTTTTACAATTAAGAATAATAGTGGTGCTGCCCCGCTCTTGCTGTCCTTTGTTCAACATGGAAGACTGAGGTTCCAAGCAGGACAAGAACACCCATGCCTTTTTATATACAGCATCACTGCTTTCGTGTGTCAGCCTATTGCTCTGGCCAACTAGACAAGGCATAAAATCAATTCCTTCTTTGGCCCGAGATGAAGGGAAGACTGCTCTCACTGTAGGCTGATCCCCTGTTTTGCTGGAGGCTATCTCCAGCCCCAAGAATCATAGAATGGTTTGGGTTGGAAGGGACCTTAAAGACCATCTAGTTCCAACCCCCCTGCCATGGGCAGGGACACCTTCCACTAGACCAGGTTGCTCAAAGCCTCATCCAGCCTGGCCTTGAACACTTCCAGGGATGGGGCATCCACAGCTTCTCTGGGCAACCTCTGGGCACCCTCTCCGGGAAGAATTTTTTCCTGATGTCTAATCTAAACCTCCCCACTTTCAATTTAAACCCGTTACCCCTTGTCCTGTCATTACAGGCCCTTGTAAAAAGACACCCCACCAGCTTTCTTGTAGGCCCAGAAGCTGTGCCACTGTGCAGAAGAGCACAAAGTTCATTGAGCCAAAAAACAAGAGCAGCAAGTCTGGGTACTCTATTGATAAACCACTCATCTGAGGTGGGACCAGCTGCATTCTGGCACTGCTTCTCAAAAAGGAAGAGCATTTCTCTGTGTTTTGCTTTGTTCTCAATGTTGTACTCCATTATTACCCCAAATTAGCCACTCTTCTGGCAGATAGGAGGTGTATTTTTACTCTTCCAAGGTAATGAAGGAACTAACTCTCCAAAGTTTTGCAGATAGTGCACAAAGAGTTCAAAGCTGAAATGCTTGAGTCATGCCCATTGTCTGAAGGAAGGTAGAAGTTGTTTACGTTCAGAACAGGATCCTGGGAGGTGTGGATCCCACAGCCTCTTCCCACAGCTCCACAGGTCTGAAGGGGAGTGGAATTTCAGGGGCTCCTTTCTTTTGTGTGCTTTCTACTGGGTAGGTTACTCAAGTCTTTGTGCCTGCTGACTTACACACTGGCAGGATGCAATCTAGTCATAAGCAGCATGTAAGCACGGAATTTTTTCGTGAATCTCATTAGTTTTTGAATGCTTGATTTAGGTAACTGAAGTGGGAAAAATATTGGACTTTTTCCCTTATGAATATAGCCCTTACAAATGATTTAAATACAGGCTAATGGGAGCTGCAAATGCCTTGTGTCCCTCTGCCAGAGTGAAATTTACCTGAAATTAAAGGACACACAGAAGTCCGTTTCCTTAGTTTATTAGTACAAACAATGCATACACAAGACTGTATATTGTTTGAAGACTGCAATAGATTTCTAATTTAACAACTCTGTAACAAAATTTAACTAAATTTGACATTTATGAAAATATAAATCTCTGATTGGGTAGGTTTTCCCAACAATACAAAGTTTACATAAAAACATTCAATATGATCTATTAGTTGCAAACAAGTTAGGAAAAATCATTCAAGTCACTTAATATACTATATTGGCTTGTACATTGAACATTCACACACTACATTAAGTTCTAGCTTAGCATTCATTTCTTGGAAATTTGTGGCATGAAGTTCTGATTTTAAAAATAAAATTGTTTCATTTAAATAATTTGAAAAAATTTCCACAGGTGTGCCACCTTTAAGATATGTAAGGAGGGAAAAATCTTATCCTTTCAGAAGTTGTCCATTATTTTTTTTCCACTTGGGCAAAATGTATTTTTTTCTTTAGGCATGCCATTATTTCACAATTTCTGCCTTGAAACTTGTTAAACTGTATAAAAGGCTCAGAACAGTTCTAAAGCAGAAAGTGAAGCTTGTAAGTATGTGGAAGTAAGAAAACCCACTACAAATTGAACCAGGAAAGAACCTTTGGACAGCCTTTACATTTAGTGGGGTATTTCAGCACATATACAAGCAGTCCCAGAGTGTTTGGTCATCTGATCGGTATTTATCATGGGAAAGAACAGAAATGATAGTAAGGCAAATGTTAGCATGATTAATACATGGCATGTCTGAAAACTCTCTATTAAGATTACTTTGGGGACATAGGAGATACTTTAGACTTCCTTACAAGAAAATGGACAGAAACCTTTAAACATAAAGAAATTAATGTGTTTAACTGTTCATCTGTAACACCCTTTCCCTTTGAAAAAGTTTTCATGACGACGTGTACTAATACACACTATGAAGACCAAAAAATTCTCCAAACCAAAAATAAAACCCCAAACCCTATACTCCTTTTATGACCTAGGTTTTTATCATTTTTATCACAATACAGAAATCTGAAATCCCTGCATGCAATTAAAAAAAAAAAAAATCTTTCAGTCTATTCACTGAAGTGAACAAATGCGTATCACCTCACAGGCTGACATGTTTGCAGCTGACTGGAACCTACTCCTTTCAACACAAAGGTTAACCCCAATTAAAAAAAAAAAAAAAAGTAGGTATTTTTAAAAATGATGATGGAATGTATCAAGTGTTCCAGGTTGGCAGGTGACATCTTGTCATTGCACCATCAAGCAGAAAAACACATTTTTGCAAGTGGGTATAAAGTTGGCTGTTAGCTATAGACCCATCTAGGCGACTTGGTATATAAAATAGTGGTCTGCCTCTTCTCACCGATCATGTGGAGCTTTAGTTCTAATTAAAACAGTTTGTCAATCCCAGATAAGATCACCTAACTTCTGTAATAGCGTAACAATTTTGATAGTATTGCTAGAAATTTTTAATCAAGGCCCTGGTGAAATCCTGGACTGAACCTTGTATTCCGAAATTTAAAAAAAACCCTGCAGCCCATTTGCTTTATGTTTGATTTTTTTTTTGTGTTGTTTACCTAAATGTAAGAATATCTGTTGAGGAGGAAACAGCCGGTCTGCCCTCTGCTGTTTGTTTGTCTTCCAAGAAATGCACTGATTTTTATGTGAATTCAGAAGACAAATCTACGCATGTATACTATTATTCAGATAAGACAGTCCAGACGGTTACTCAGTTGTCAGCAGCAAAACCGTGTCCTCTGCAATCTATGGCTGAGCACACTTTCTCATAGCAGTAGTTGTGTTTTTTGGTTGGTGTTGCTTCACTCACCTCAGGCTCTGTAACTGTAATGGGGCTATCCCTTGCAAATACTTCCGTTGATTCCCTCCAAATACAGTCTGCAGTCACTTTGAAGCTATAATTGTGACATTTTGGCCTAATCACTTGTGTTGTGTTGTTGAAAATCTGACGGCTGTTTGAAGTAGCAATTTTGATTTTCAGTGCAGCGTCGACTCGATCCACTACAGTGTACGTACCTATACTTCCGTCATCAAATCCAATAATAATATTTAAATGTCTCTGTGACAGTGCAAGAAAAGTGGGAGTTTTATAAAGAGAACAGGCACCGATGTTTTTACCATCTGCTAGCCTCATTACTATTAAAGTAGAGACTGCACCATTGTCATCATCTTCTTCACCACGAAAACAGATGTACACAAGGTAGCGGCCATCCCGAGACAGCCTCTGCCGCCAGATGACGCCTGGAGCGTGAACCACACGAAGTTTTCCACTGTATAAATCAAGCACATTGATGTTCTCATCACCACGGGTTATAATTCCCAGCTTCCCATTTGGGGATATTTCAAAGTCTTCCAAATTTTTTAAGAAATTGGTAGGCAATTGTACACGTCTGCAGATGACTTCCTCTGTTAGGCTCCAGATGTTCACAGTTTCAGTAGATGTTACAAATACTATAATATCTGGGCAGTCTGGTATCAGTTTAATATCCACAATGCTTGCACCATCATCACAGCAAAACTTCTTAGTTATACTGCCTGTCCAGAGACTCACTGCCAACACTTTATTCTTCGCCATTCCGACTACGAAAGTATTTGCAGTTGTTATAAATGCATTCTGTAAGGCAACTAAAATATTGCAAACCCTATGTCCTGTAGCCAGTCGCCAAACTCTGGATGCATTTTGCTCGCAGAGAGAGACTACAAATTGATCATTATGAGTAATCATTAGCTCTGAGATTTTTTGCCCATTAATGCGAAAGATATTTTCGCCACTAACCGTGTGCCATACGTACTGGCTGCATTTATCATCTGATGTAACCATTATCTCTCCAGAAGAGGTCAGCACACAGTTTTCAACTATGCCTTCGTGCTTGAACACAGCTTCAATAAATCCAGTGCTGAAGTTCCACTTATGGACAGAATCTGATCCATCCAATGTGTATATTAATTCACCTCTGGCTGGCAACACCAGTCTCTGGATAGGCTTGCCAGATTTGTCAATATTGGACATAGCAGTTATGATGTCTATATCCCAAATAGAAAGGACACCACTGGTGGATAAGGATAGCAGCATGTTATGATGATTTGATTTAATTAGCCTGACTATAGTTCCTGAGATTTCCTGTAAGCTTGCCATGCACTGTCCCGTATCTCTTCTCCAAACAAAAATGGCTGAGGTATTTTCCATTGAAGCAATTATACAGTTGCCATTTTTGGACAACACAGCAGATATAAAGCGCTCATTGTGTTTAGCTCTAAACTTTTCAGCCACCTTCCACACATGAGTGTCAAGAAGTTCAATGCTGAGAGCCTTACAAATTAAAATTGCACTTTGGTCTTCAGAAAGCTCTATGCTGACAACTTCACTGTCTTCTCTCCTACAATCGAAGTCATCCGTAAGCTGGGGATTCGCGATTTCCTCTGTACTCCAAACAGAGAGGCTACCCTCGCTGTCCACCATCACCATTTCCTGGGCTGTGTCCAGAATGAGAAGGAATTTCACAAATCCACCAGAAAATTCAGAGGTCACTGTGGCCAGCTTCTCTCCGCTGCCCAAGTGAAAAATGGTTGCGGTGTTCAAATACTGCCCACAGAATGCATAAACTCCGTCTGGAGAACACTGCACGCACGTCACTTCGTACCAGCAGTGGAAGTGATAGAGAGGCCAACCGTAAAGCAGATCTATCACAGTAACGTCTTTGCTGGCCTCCAGCCAAGCAAGTGCATGGTTGACTGATAGCGTAAATCCATTGATGAAACTGGAGCCTCCCCCAATTCCACAATGTTTTGACCCTTTAATTTCTACCTCAGACAGAAGACAGGAATTTATGTTATCATAAATCAAAAGAGTATTTTTTGTTGTAGCCACTACAAGATACTTTTCATCACTGGTCAGCTTCATCCCTAAGATAACAGATGGAGCTGTTGTAATCTGCCGTAGTAACTGGCGGGTCTCTACATCCCAAGTGCTGATGGAGCCGTTTTCTAAAGCAGCGATAATTGTGCTGGGATTAAAAGTAGGCAGAATCTCAGTGACGTGCATGCAGCTGGATGATAGTGGCAGGCGCTCGGGGCTGTAAGTCACATCCATGGAGGAATGCAAAGGGACAATAGAGCAGTATTTGGGTCCGTCCTTGTCACACTCTAACAGGAGATGTCTGAGTTTGGGCAGTGAACTTACAACTGGGAGAAGCCTCTGCTGCAATTCAGCAGAGAGTGAACCTGGATATTTTGCTACTTTGAACTTTATACTGCGGAGGGTACTGGCCAGAAATTTCAGTTCCTTTTCTTGCGAGTAGGTGTAAGCCAGTTCTATGTCAGAAAGTACTTTATCAAACTGCCCTATTCTAATCATGGTGTACAGCCAGCTGAAGTTCATAATGACTCCGTACAGTAGATCATCTGTTTTTCCACATCTTGTCAAGTGATGAATAAGCTCTGTCATTTTTCTGTGATTGATAAAAAAGATATCAGGCTCTAATGGATTACACTGAAAGACCCATGGCTGATCAGGTGCCTGCCTGTCAAAAGCAGCCTGATCCGTGCTGTGCTTTTCCTCCTCACTCAGGCCTCTACTGTCATGGTCAGGACAACCATTCAAATATTGGTCATTGCTGTAAAAAGGTTTTCTTCGGCCACCTGACCAGACACCAAGGAAATACTCTGCCATGACTCTGTGCATTTCATGCAAATCTTCTTCATTGTGCAGGTACAATTTCTGGGCAATTAGTTGCAAGTGCCTATTTGCCCAAAGAAGCAGCGTTACATTTTTCACCTGTCGCTCTATTAAGTATCCCTGCAAGCCCTCCTTAAGCCTTGCAATGTATATATATGGAATTCTCAGTGGGTTACTTTCTCTGACACTCTCACTCAGTTCGTACATAACGCTGTTGTCAAGGGCTAAAATATCTTCCAGTTCCATTTCACTGAGGCCAGATTTAGACATAGTGATGTAGCCAAGTGCTCTTGACAATAGTCTTGATCCACACTTGTTTTCCAGCGACCAAAACAACTGCTCTATGCTTTCATGAACTGTGACGCAGAGGGAGGACTCATCCACATCTTTGTGAGATCTCCAGTTCCTGACCTCTCTGAAGGTTAAGTTCACAAACATAGGCAGCGTGCATTTGGAGAATGCTTCATTGACGTAGATTTGTTGCCCTGATGTTACTTTTCTCTTAACTCTCAGCAGCTGATGTTTCAGTACTTGGCTGCACATCTTTCTGTCCCTTGCAGTTAATTCAATGTAGTTGTTGTCTTCATGAATAAGGCACCTCAGTTTTTGCAGGATCCCATGCTTGTTTGGCAGTGTTGACAAAATTATCCGTACTGAACGGGGAAGGTGAATGGGAAGCCACCAGAGCTTCCTACCGTCATCACTATCTGTTAGCTGTTCTAGGGCATCGAATATTATCACCAGCGGCCTGTGGAATGAAGACTCATTCAACAGATTGATGAACAAGTCCCGAAGGTCATGAATCTTTTTTGGGTAACTTTGTATGTGACAACGATAGTTGACTGCTAATTGCTCACAAATGCTTTGAAGTATATTCTTCAGATCTGTACTTGTTTCGGTGGATCCCAAAAATCTTAGAACTACCACAGGGTCAGAATCTGGTCCCATCTCTTCTTGCAACCAGGAATAGGCCTAGAATATAGAGCTTAATTTAGTTAATATTTAAATGAGCAACAGAGCTTATAAATAGTGATTGCCTACATATAAATAAACATTTTTAAAAGTCACTAGTTGAATGGAAATGCTTTCACTGGCACAGTTCAAGGCTGGTTTGATTTATGTGCACTGAATGAAATACATATCCTATGTCATCTTTGTTAAGCACAGGTAATATCCCAAAATACTAAGACCCAGATCCACAAAAAGACTTACATTTAAGGGGACATGAGTACAATGTAGTGCATAAATCCCAGGGTGCTCTTAGCAAAATCTGTGTCTCACTTCTGAAAGTCAGTAGGTAGATTCTCTTACTAATAAACTTCCTTAGACACTAAGCAATGTCATCCTTGGCCAGGCAGCCCAGCTTGCCACCTAAACTTGTTTAACATTGATTCCCAGCTGAGTATAAATGTACACCCTGATGGTTTTGGAGGACAGGGATCAGAATACAGATTGTCGTTTACTAGCTGGTTACCTCAATTCCTGGACCACAGAAGTATACTCTTGTCTTTGTGTGCCTGCTACTTTTGCTCTTACTCACTACTGCAAGGGGTAAAAAGTATCTATCTCTTGCTGTTATTTTTGGTTAGCATCCTCCAAGGAAGTGAGGAATGTGGCTTTAATTCCACTGAGGCTAACACGCACAGTTCTCTTAATTGCTAAGTCTTTTCTCCTCACTTTAAGTTATTACAGAATATTTAACAAGTGTAACCAGAGTCTCTAGGTTAATTTATGTACTCAGATCTGAAGTCAGATCTTGAGTTGCAAAACCCAATTTCACATACGCAATGAATGTGAATCTATAGGAAGTCACATTTGGGAAAGATACAGGATTTTAAACATTATTGTTGCCTTCTCCATTTACTTCTGGCTGATACGGCTGTTTGCCAGCCTGCTGTGCTAAATTCTCTGAGCACCCTGTAGGGAACTCAAAGTTGTGGCTCCCAGCTGGAGAATTAGGCTTAGAGATGACAGCTTGGGCTTTTTCTGCATCTGCTCCTGCCTTGCACAAAGTGCTTCACTCATCTCCCTGTAGTACTCAGCTCAATGACTCGAACAGCGTATGTCAGATAAACCGCAAAAATACCTGTACTTACTTATTACAGATAGATCTATAGCAAGTGTATCAGGCTAATTCTGGAATAATTAGTTATTTCTATTACTTAGAAAGACATGTTCTGTTTGTGAATAAGACTAAGAATAGCAAATGATGCTTAGATGGTTCCAGATTCATAGGACCTCAGTGGAACAAGAAGGAAAGAGATTCTTCTAAAATACATGGCGTTAATTCAAAAATATATTGATTCCTATTGGGTTTTTAAGAGTCTGATAAAGTATTCTTGTTTTGGCTAAGCACTTGTTACAGACGTTATTATTGAAAGGTAAGTCTTTTTTCTGAATATATGTACAATCATATGCAGAATATACTTTATTTTTATTTTATATACTGCAGGCTGATACCAGATCTGTTGACAAAAGGAAGAATGAAAACTAAGTTGGCCTTTATGCACTAGTGCTCCTAACACTACCATACTACATGAAGTATTTATTTACCTTCTTTGCCACTTCGGCTAATAAAAGAGTCTTCCCTGTGCATGGTCCTCCGTATATGATAAGAGGGTTAATGTGTCCTATTTTGCTAGGTAGAATGTACTTGTGAACTATGTTTAATGCCTCACATCTGTATTCATAAAAAGTGGAGTATGTTTTACATAGCGATGAGTGTTGAAGAACTTCATCGTACAGCAGGTCTGTCTCGGTGTCAAAATTCTGCTGCACTGTTGCTTGGATTATGTCAATCATGTCTTCATAGAACTGTTTACCAAGTCCTTCGATGTAATGGTTCTCCACTTCTTGGGAGTAGCCCAGTTTCATGTCACAGTGAGTGACGGACGTGTACACTCTCAGATTGGACGATGCAACAATGGTAGGAATGAATTCATCCCTGAGCTTGATGAGTTTCTCATGGGCTTCAGGATCTCGTAGAAACTTTCCGGCTGTATGTACCACATCCATGTATTTTCCCATCTCTGGAATTTTAACGAAACGCTCAATATTGGCAATTTTCCGAATGTAGCAAACACACTTCTTCAGGAAAGCTGGTGTTTGTTTACCCAAAGCAAAATCGAGTTCATCTTCAATAGCTGAGAAAATGAAAAGAGAACACAGTGTCTCTGTTATCTTTCCTTTATAAACTATTCAAGAACAGCCCCCACCCCCACCATGCAGCCTCTTAAATGACTGCATCTGTTTTCTGTGAAAGACAGAAAAAGCACAGAAAAATTGCTGGGTGATCTTGGATGGGTTTTGGTCTCAAACAAGTACAATGAACAACTTTTTTCTCTTCAATGATATGAGAAATGCTGACAGAAATATATTTTCATGTTTGCGGAAAGGCTGATAGAAAAGGTAATAAATGAATATATAGAAATAGTTAATCTGAACTTTACCAGAGGAAAGGTATCTCTTTGCTTGGCTGTGTTTCATTTTTCCTTTCTCATACAGCAATTTCACAGCAGTCTTAAAAATCTTCTTAATTTCTTCTGATATATCTTGCCATTTGTTCTCATTCATAGAGTTTGAAGAAGATTCCATCTTTTAAAAATATCCATAGTTAAACAGTAGCTGTAACGCACGCATCTACAACTTCAGAAAGTAAAAGTCTAATATTCAAGGTGATAACATGGTAACAGAGAAACACTCAAAATAAAGAAATTAGTTCAACTTTTTATCATAATGTATTCAATTTTAGAATGATAAGAGTTAGCTACTTTGAGTATTTCAGCTGATGCAGTATTTTTCAAAAATCAGACCACTAACACTTTTATAGAAAGAGGGTTTTGAATCACAGAATCATAGACTGGTTTGGGTTGGAAGGGACCTTAAAGACCATCTAGTTCCAACCCCCTGCCATGGGCAGGGACACCTTCCACTAGACCAGGTTGCTCAAAGCCACATCCAGCCTGGCCTTGAAGACATCCAGGGAGGGGGCATCCACAGCTTCTCTGGGCAACCTGTTCCAGTGCCTCATCACCCTCTCCAGGAAGAACTTCTTCCTGATATCTAATCTAAACCTCCCCACTTTCAATTTAAACCCATTACCCCTTGTCCTGTCACTACAGGCCCTTGTAAAAAGTCCCCCCCAGCTTCCTTGTAGCCCCTTCAGCTACTGGAAGGTGCAATAAGGTCTCCTTGGAGCCTTCTCTTCTCCAGGCTGAACAAGTCCAACTCTCTCAGCCTGTCCCCATAGCAGAGGGGCTCCAGCCCTTTGTGCATCTTCGTGGCCCTCAGATTTTGAGCACCAAGCCTGAAGTGAAGATGATAAAGCAGCCTAATACTGCCAAAATTGTCACTCCTTTCATGAGAAGTTGTAATAATTTAAATGTGGATCTCAAAACCAAAATGAGGTTCCTGGTACTTGTAATTAAGCACCCCATATTAGCTACCATATTTGAAAAACATGGGATTATAGGTGACATTGCTTTCGCTCATTCATTGCTACAGTAACAGCAATCTTACTTTTATCAGAGAGGGACTCTAATATCAATTCAATAATCCTTTCAGATGGCATCTTGCAGATGCCACGGTGGTATGCCACTGCTGCATTACTTACTGCAGGTGAAGTGTTTAATAGGTCTCCAATTTTCCCAGAAGGTGTAATAAGAAAAATAACAGCTTCCAGGATAAGCTCCCTGGCAACTCGACACATTCGGAGCTGTGTATCTTTTATTACTTTCTGTAAGTTTATGAAATGTAGCTCTATGTTCGCTTTAAGTTACTAAGACCTTTTTACTTCTGTGTATCAGTAGCTTGAGAAAAGGTACAAAGTTTTAATAACAAAAAAGCCAAGCTTTATTCAAAGGGATATTGTGGGCATAAGCTAAACAATGAAAGGTTACAAAACTTGTGCTCTCCCTTGTGTCGATACTTCCGAATTAGCCACCTTATACTGTCTTCAGCTCACTAAAACCCTTTCCGTGTCTTTTTCATGTGTTCAATGTTTTTCGTGCAACAGAAAAAACATTCTGCTACACAGTAAGTATACACAGTATAATGGTTTAATTTCACTTTCTTGTATCATACAACATGCACTCAAAATGGAGTGAATACTCTCTTAAGGACTTCACTTTTTGTACACTGAAATCTGCCCTTGGGTATGCAGGATGTGTAGGAGGGTAGAACTGAGCCCTGCGTAATACAGTTTTTATTGTCATCAGTTACAGATAAATGGCTGTTACAAAAATGATAATTAGCAGTGTTAAAAAATCTTCTGTTAGAATACAGTTAGTATGTTAAAAGTATGAGATCTGACTCAGGACAGCCCCTATTTGACTGTTAAAGGGCTTTCTTGTAAGGGGATAGAAGGGAAAACGTGTATTTTGTTCATTGAAATCTAGCAAAAGCACAACACCAGGGCAGGAGAGCCTGAGCTCCCGCTATTCCAACATGAGGGAAAGGAAGAGAAATCTATCCCACTAGGCCCAACAGGTCATGAATGACTACAGTCCATTTGCTCTGTTACCAGAGAGCGCATCAGCGCAGGAGTTGTGACCCGTCCTGTTCCCTGGTGTTTCGCAGCTGCTCCCTTCACCATGTGTGGGAAAGGAGCATCACGGCACCAGTTGCTCAGGTGTGGACAGGGCTGTGAGAAGCTAATTCAGAGACAGCAGCAAGTGCCTGGCCCCGGGGACTGCCCGCCGCTGCAATTATAGAGAAGAATTTTGGAAGGAGATCACTGTGACTTACTGTATTCTGGCAGTTCTTCAGCATTTCAGATTTTGGTCTGAGGTAATACGCTGGTGGCACTGCATTCTCATCCCTGCAGTACCACTCTTCTAAAATCCTTGTCTCTAGCTTGGCCTCTACAGCAGCATCCAGGATCATTTCAAATTCTGCTGACTCAACTTCCCCCGGTATTCGGATGTTCCCATACTTCTCTCCCAACAGGCCCTGTGTATTTGCAAGAAAGTAGGGATTAAATTTTTCGTTTTAGATATGCAAAAACCATCCTCAGGATCTGAATTTTGTAAAAATCGATGTGGTAATAGTTTAATGAATTTGAAATTACTAGAAGGGAAACAGATACAGTGTAAGATGAATTACTGTTGAGGGTACTGTACTGAGCTGCATCCTCCAATGATGACTTAGTAAAATTTCTAGTAGATGAATTGTCTTTCTTAATATTAACTAGTAATAAAAAATACAAAGGCATTCAAAAGAAGACATTAAAAAATACCCAACATACTTTCTAAGCACAGTATTGACTTGTGTATTATTACCATTAGTCACAGGCTGGCATTAATGTCACATACAGAGGCAAATGTGGAAAGCCTTTTCTCTGGACTTAGGACAAGGATGCATCTCTGGATTCTTTACCACTTGGCTATATTCTTAGTTTCTACAGTAATGGAACAGGAGATTTTACGTTCTGTTTGATGAAAATTCACATGATTTTATTTATAGTTCATACTGGTATTATTAAAAATGTGGCTTATACCAGCAATACCAAGGATCAGCGTTAAAGAGTCACAGAGTGGAAAGGGTTGGAAGGGACCTCTAGGGATCATCTGCCAACCCCCCTGGCAGAGCAGGATCACCTACAGTAGATCACACAGGAATGAACCACAAGCTGTTTAGCTGTCTCATATTCCCTTGTTGCAAAAATGTTCAATGTCTTTGTGCCGGTAGCTGTCCAATGAATGAACAGTGGGGCAAGGGAAAACAGTTTTGATCAAATACCAAATAGAAATTTTAGTATTTAAATCCATCTATTTGGTATACAGGCAAAGGTTTGTGGAAGTCAGTTTTCAAACTGTGGCACAGGAGATTTTTCACCTTCAAAACTGAGGATTAAAATACTGGTTGCAATGCTCTGAATACATTTTTTCAATTTATATGCATAGTTTGCTTTCCATAAATATTAAAAAAAAAAAAAAAAGAGGATTGGGAAAAACTAGAAGGTCCAGTTGCAGGACATCCCTGCATTCTTTTGACAAAATTTTTCAAATTTGTACTTATCAGCTTAATGCTGGATTCAAATCTTGGTCCTCAGAAGTCAGTGAGACCTCTCACTTCATTTAAAGCATGATTTTTTATTTCTTTCTTCATTTAAATGTATTCAGTAAAGATTTTGAGTTAATGAGGAGTACTTAATGTGGAGAGGAACCAACAGTATCAGCATCTTGATTTGAATCAGAAAGATCTCTTAGTAAAGTAATGCCAATGCAAATACAGTAGTACCATAAAAATGTAAATGATCTTATTTGTTAATAATAAAAATATGAATATTCATTATTTTTAAAGCACTCGTCATAATGAGAAGCTGTTTTAAACTTTTCCAGCTGTAACTAAACCCTGTTTATCAATAACTGATAATGATGAAGTCTGCTTCACTGATTATAAAAGTGTGAGGGTGCGGACCCCTTTTCTGAATCCAGCTGTGTTGGCAGAGGCTCATCATGCTAGAAGCTGTGGCCTCAGAGCAGAGATGTCGGAGCAGTGCATGCGAACACTTCCTAACCTCTTTCCGGCAAAACCACCTCGGTTAGCTCAGACCACAGCTCACGCCGTGTAAACTAACCTGGCTGGTTTCTGCCTGAAGCAGATTAGGAAGAGCTCACGTGAACTGTGGTGCTGGCTCTGATGGTGAGCGGTTGGCATCCTCCAACGGAGGAGCAGTGACAAAGAGCTGGTGGACATGAACAAGTCAATGTCTGTCCACTGCTTAGGAGACATGAAGGAAAGTAGGAATTGTGATAGTTCATACAGTTCAGGTTTCCACCTCTGACAAGTCCCAGCACCCAAGTCCTTCAAGAAGCTGCTTCAATAGAGAGGCACTGGGGAAAGATGGGTTTGTCCATTTGTATCCCACAGTAGCTACATCCAGGGTGCACATCAAGAAGTCAGGAGAAAGGAACAAATGAATTAAATAATAATCATTATAATGAAAGGATCCAGTATTTTTATTATGTGAATTTATTTTTTCTATTTGATCACTCTAAATAGTAGATCCCCTCAGACAGCATTATGTTGCTTCATGTAATGAGATAACTGGGGAAAATGTCTAAGTTTTTCCTGTTCTGATCTATTCATAGAGCTCTATAATTTTGGAATCCTGAAGCTGCAGAGGTTAAACAAAATATAATATTATTTTCCTTCTTTATTCAAGTGAGGTTAATAACTCATATCATGCTGAACTGCAAGCCTTTGCACATTCAGAATGACGTAGAAATCTCATAAATTTCTCTCAGAGGAGCTTTGCTATGCAAATTTTTCAATTACCTTGTATAGCAATTATTGCTTGAAATTCATTAATCTACACTTTTTCTGAATTTAAGTCCAGTGGATTCAATAGACAGTTGCCCAAGCAAAGATCAATAGCTGGAACCTTCATTAACTATACTAAAATGTCAGCATTGAAATGTCTGGTTTTAATGTACTGCATTTAATCAACTAAATTTGTTTTGGAATTATTCTGTGTACTTTTCTGCTTCTCTGGTACAGTTTGTGCTGTTCTCTCTCCACTATTATAGGTGAATACACTGTTATGGGTAAATAACAAAAGGCAGTATTTTAAAATGAAAAGATAGATTCTACACACACACACACCCCCACACCCCCCCCATATCTTATCTGTCATTGCAACAGACATTATGTAAATAATCCAGAATTGGGGATCATCTTCCTGGCTACTAGAGCAAAACACAATAAAAAGGAACTTTGATGTGACCAGAATATTAGAATCACTGTGGATGACTGTATCATGAGCTTTGAAATAAAATGGAGGCCTACTCAAATACTATTTGAAGCCTTCACAAGTTTTAAATCAAATGTTAAACAGCAGAGGACATACATTTATCATGGTGTTCCTTGGTGCTATAGGTGGCATAGCTAATATTTTGCTAGAAGTCTAGCGTTAGCTGAGGGAAAAACAGACAAAGAAAAGGAATCACACAGACAAATGTGTGTCCTCCATTTGGGATGATGGCAGGGAGTGTCCATAAAGCTTATTTAACAACAAAACGAGGTTTGTATACTTTTGCTTTGAGGTATTCCTCCTCGTCTCATCTAGTTGTGATTTACAGAAAAGTCTTAAGGTTAATCTTAAACGATGACACATGCATAGTGCTAGGAAAAAAGATGAGGAAGTGTGGAGGAAAGAGAAGTCTGAGCAAATATACGTTGCACTGCAAGATGAAAACTGAGTCCAGCTTGTTATCGCTGACAGCTAAGTGTTTAGGAGAGCTTGAAACTATCAGCTGTACCAAGAAAGGAACACAGCAGTTGAGCATCATGCAAGGGTCTAAATGTGCTAAAACACTTATGTTTAGAACTTAAAAAGTGGACCATGGCAAAAAGGCAGTGGCAGAGGCCATGCCTGCACCCACTGCCACGCATTTTTTCCCTGAGAACTGCTCAGGGAACAGCAGGCAGCGCGGTGCTGACCAGCCTTCTGTATCTGAGCCCACGGCACACTGGACAACCACTGTAGGGATCGCGGTAGACATCCTTCCTACGAGCTGCGTGAGTTGGCCAGGCTGACAGCACACCTCTGAGACCTGGCTGTGTTTAACTCGGGAATACTGCTCCACGTGAGCGGTGTGAGCAAAAACTCCATGTCTTAGCCAAAACGTAGGCATTTCTACAATTAAAGCAAAGGCAGCTGAACAGAGATTCTGACACCTGTGGCAGCTGCTTGGTAAATACCTGCATTTAGACAGGCAGTTAAATGACTCAGTGTCTTTGATGTTCTAATACAACAGAACTGACAAGAAAACTAAGAGAAATAGTATTAGGAACAGGATAGGGAATAAAAAGAATAGCACTGGAATGAAGAAGGGAATTGATTACACAAGCAGAACCAACAAACTGTAAATACTGTGCAGGTCTGTCATGTAGAGAGGGCAATCCCAAGCACTGCACTGCCGCTGTGTTCCTCCTAGTACCCCAGAAGAAGTTAGCTGAGGTTCTGGTATTAGTACCTCACTGTGTAGCCATTTGAAAAATATAAAGCTAAAATATTTTATGAGGTAGAAGACTCTTCGTGGAGTCATTCCTGTGCTTTTCAGTAGCGCCAGACTAGCCTCACTCTACAGCCCAGCTTGACTGGCCATTTAACTGAGGTATTGAAACATGACTTCTTTTCATTTTTCTGGAGAGGACAAAAGTAACTGTCACTTTTTTTCTAAAGGACTGTGATAGCACGCCCCAGGGCTGGAAGTAAAAGGGGTGCTGAGAAAGTGCAGCCTTTTTCTACTGAGAGATGGAATGCTAGGTTACCTGACATGAACGCACCAGGTTCTTCACCTCAACATACCTTCCTCTTGATTCATGGCATGTTTTCCATTAACAGGGGGCAGTAGTAAAAACTACAGAAGACTAAGGACTATAAACAGTCTGTATGTGTTTGCTGGCATAAACTACTTGTTTGTAAGGCTGCACGGGAGCCCTGGGATAGGTGCATTTGCACGCATAGGCTGCAAAAACTGCATCTTCCCATGTTTAGACACAGGTGATGCTTGGAAGTACCTCCTTCTGGCTGGCACCAGGGAACAGCCAGCTCCCCACCACTCTTCTGGTGTCGCTGTGGTTAAATTTATATCTGGCTATGTAAGCGTAATCTATCAGGGTACCACAAAACCACTCGAGCCTTTACAGGGCTAAATGAGAAGCTCTGAATAGCACTTTTCCTCCAGGGGTTTCAGTGTCTGGACTGCATCCATGCCAGAGGCTTGCAGCAGCCTCTGGAAATATATGTCCCTCTCTTCACATTCCCTACGCATCCAAGTGAATGCAACTGTCTTCATAGAAAAATGAAGAAAAATAAAGCAACAGAATTGAAAGAAAATATATCTCACAGTCTTCAATGAATATCACAGTATTCTACAGTAATAACCTAAAACTTCAATTTATGATGACAACATTGCAGCATTTGGATGATTATTATAGGA